AGGCTCACGGCCACACGGCCAGCGAAAGCCACAACCAGGCTCCCACCTAGGGTGGTCTGGCTTCAGATTTTGATCTCAACCAAACTGTAGGATAAAAGCTCCTGCTTCCCTCCTCCCAGCAGCAGTGCCAGCATCGCTTTTGAGTTCTCTGTATTGAATGCCCGACTCGCCAGTCACCTTCGCTTGGGATAGTGAGCTTAGGTCTCATTTCCTTCTTCTGTAGAACAAGAGTCCCTGGGGCCAGCGCAATAGCTTAACAGGATAACCCTACATCTTGCAATGCTGGGATCCCATACAGGCACTGGTGCATGTTTCCGCTGCTCTACTTCCCATCCAGCTCTCTGCTTGTGGCCTGGGAAGGCAGTGGAGGATGGCCCAAAGCCTTGGGATCCTGAACCCCCATGGGAGACCTGGAAGAGGCTCCTGGCTCCTGGACTTGGATTAGTTCATCTCCAGCCACTGCAGCCATTTGGGGAATAAACCAGAGGATGGAGATCTTTTTCTCTTTCCCTCCTTCCCTCTGTAAATTTGCCTCTCAAATAAAAACTAAATAAATGTTTAAAAACAAAACAAAGAGTCCTTGCTCCACAGATTTGTTTGCATAATGAGGCAACAGATGCTAACAACCCACAGCAGCATATACATCTACTCAGGTCAATTAACACTATCTCCTGTTCCAACTCTCCCAGACAGACCCCAGCAATGCTCTGGCCCAAGCCTGCCCAGTTCCAGTGACTCGGAGAGCTGTGATGTGCACACTTCACAGAGCAAACATCCCTAGGCTCCCTGCAGACTGGGGCCCTCAGGCTGGCACACTGCAGGGAAGAGCTTGGGCTTCGACCCTCTGCTACCTTTCCAACCCTCAGTTTCCATTGTTGTAAAACAATTAGAATGCCTGTTTCATGGGGCTGTGTATACACCTACTAGATGCTTGTATGGACAATACGTAGCACAGGGCAAGAGGAGCTGCTGTTATCTCAGTGAGTGGTTCACTAGAGACCTCAGGAGCCCACGAGACCTCCAAAACCTTGCAGCTGAAGCCAGTGCTGGGGTGCAGCAGGCTAAGCTGTCACTTGCAAGACCAGCATCTGATATCAGAGCAAGAGTTCAAGTCCGAGTTGCCCTACTTCCGATGCAGCTCCCTGCTGATGCACCTGGGAAGGCAACAGAGAGCCTCCAAGCAGTCGGGCCCCAGTTACCACTTGGGAGTTCCTGGCTCCTGGTTCTGGCCTGGCCTGTACTTGGCTACTGCAGTCATTTGGGGAGTAAAGAGCATGTGTGTATGTGTGTGTGTGTGTGTGTGTGTGTGCCTTTCAAAATTAATCAGTTAACACATGTCAGAATTGCCACCTGCAACTCAGAAAACGTTCATTGCTGTTCCCTGGGCATCTGTGACCACATCTGCTATGCCTGTTGGTCCTCGGTGCATAACACACAGCACGGTACACACTGAGTAGTACTCTGCAACTTAGAATCCCTGCTCACACCCTTACCCTCTACTTACAAAAATTCCCATTTTACCAATGGGATAACCAAGGCCCAGGGAGCACAAAGGCTTTGCTCTGCAGAAAAGAGGAGTCTGTTCTTCTGTGCCTCTGCAAAGGCTTCCCTTTGGAGCTGTACCCATACCATGAAGGCCAGCTGCCAAGCAGCGTTACCTGGCAAGGTTGGGTTGTGGAGACTGCTATCAGAAAATGGCTGACATTAAAGGAACTGCTAACTCTCCACCTGCAAAGGAGTGGCATGAACAGAGCCCTTCCATCTCCTGCCTGTTTGTTTCGGTGTGATTTTCTGAGCAAGTGCACGAACCAGTAAAAAGGGAGGGATGGGTTGGTGCTGCCAGCCTCTCCCAGTTTTCACCAAGATCAAATGCAACGTCCCAAGGGAAAGTGCTTAATAGATGTTCACATTATTGTAGTCTTTACTGTGTGGCTGATAAAGAGGCCCTGGGGCCTCCTCAGCCTTTCAAGAGAGTGGATGTATCTGCTCCGGGGAGCCTGGCGCAGCAGGGAGAGAGCAGCTGCTTCTCCCACGCAGAGGATGGAGGACTCACGGGGGACTCGTTCCTCAGGCCACACGCGAACTACTGGGACAAGACCAAGTGTTCTTACAGCTTCCAGATTACCACAGAGATGATGGGGGTGGGGGGAGGAAGGGAGATCCAAGCTTTCTTTTAACTTTGCTGTCTTGCCAGAAAAGGCTTCCCCGGTACAGCTGCTGACATGATGCATAGCACAGTCACCTGCTACATCATGGTACCTGGGTTCTAGTCCTGGCTCCAGCCCAGATCCCAGCTTCCTGTTAATGCAGACCCTGGGAGGCACCAGCCATGGCTCAAGTGCATGGCTCCCTGCTGCTCATGTGGGAAACTGCAGTTGAGTTCTAGCTCTGACTGTTGTAAGCTCTGGGGGAGGGAACCAGCAGATGGACTCTATCTCTCTGCCCCTCAAATGAGTAATCTAAATAAATAAAACTTCAATTGTGCCGCTTTGCTATAAGCCATGTTGATTCCTCCATGGACAAGTTCACATTCATCCCCAGCAGCATCCGTCTCGTGTAGCTCCTCTGCTTTATCAGATTATCTTTCCATTTGCTGATAAACCCAGCGTGCTTATAAAAACACTCCTCCATTAACATTTTCCAAAACTGTGACAGAACCAATTTTTAAAAAAATATTTCCAGGAAAGGGGGAACATAAATTCTGCAGAAGTCATTTCAAGTCATAAACCTTAAAAATGCTTGCGGCGTGTTCTCCTGATTGAAGTTTTCCAGTTGACTTAGGCCATGCACACAGCGACACAGCCTCTGTGTGGCGCCGGGGCAATGGTGCTTCTGAATGCTTTCCAAGTGACAATGAAAAGAAAAAAGGTCACTTCGCTGTCATGGTATTGATATTTTTAAGTAAAACTTTGGATTCTGGAACCAAGAAAGAATGGTGCCTGCTTTTAATATTTTCTTTTCTTTTCTTTTTTTTTTTAAGTAGAGGTGAAGGGCGAGAGAAATAAAGTTCTCCTATCTACTCAAATGCCTCCAGTAACCAGAGTAAAGCTACGGTAAAGGCAGGAACTAGAAACGTTGTCCAGGCCTCCCTCAGGGTGGCAGGGACCCAAGCACTAGAGCCATGTGTCACCTGCTGCCTGCAGGGTGCACGTGATCTGGACGCTGGCGTGGAGAGCAGAGCCAGAACTTAACCCTCTACTATGGGATGCAGTGTTCCAAGTGGCAGCTTCACCCTCGTGCCAAGGGCAAGCCTTAGCATCTCTGCCTTCTGAGGTTCACTCTTGGCCAGAGGATTTGTTTTTTTTAAGATCTACCAAAATACATTCTCTTAGGACTCCATGTGGGGTTTGTCACATTCTACAGATGCACTCTGAACCGTCAGCGGGGCAGACTCCCCTTCCCAGGGGCTGGGGTGAACTCTGGTTCTCCGGGTCATTCTCCACTCAGACTCTAGAAAAGGACTGGTCATTTATCCATAGGCACCTACTCCACTTCCCCAGCCAGGAAGTACGGCAGCTAAAGGGAACATGAGCTCGAGTGGACAAAGCTGCACTGTGGGATGCATGTTTCCGGGTTCCAGGATGACAATGCGGTGTGGACTGGCACTCTGGGTCCCTGCCCTCTTGGAGAAGGAAGTAACTAGAAGGTAGCTCTGGAAGCAGGAAGCCAGGAAGGGAGCAAGGAGAGACAAGAACCACAGTTGGAGGTCTTTGTGAAAAGAATGGGAAGGAAGGGAAAGAGAAGCCTTATGGAAAACAGAGTAAGGGGCCCAGTGCTATAGCCTTGCGGCTAAAGTTCTCACCTTGAACGCACTGGGATCCCATATGGGTGCCAGTTCTTACGCCGCAGACCCCGCTTCCCATCCAGCTCCCTACATGTGGCCTGGGAAAGCAGTCTACGACAGCCCAAAGCTTTGGGACCCTGCACCTACATGGGAGACCTGGAAGAGGCTCTAGGCTCCTGACTTCAGATTGGCTCAGCTCCAGCCATTGCAGCCACTTGGGGAGTAAACCAGTGAACGGAAAATCTTCCCCTCTCTCTCTCTCTCTCATCCTCTCTGTATAGCTGCCTTTCCAATAAAAATAAATAAATCTTAAAAAGGAAAAGAACATGAAAACAAAGTAAAAACTCCAGAGAAGTGCGAATGCTCTTGCATAGAAGATGTAAGTCAAAGACTGGAACAGGTGGGAAGATGACAACCACATCTTGGTCTTCCAAAGCATGGATACACCATGCCTCTTTTCTTTCTTTCTGTTTTCCTTCTTTCTTTCCTTCCTTCCTTCCTTCCTTCCTTCCTTCCTTCCTTCCTTCCTTCCTTCCTTCCTTCCTTCCTTCCCTCCTTCCTTCCTTCCTTCCTTTTTCTTTCTTTTTTTTCTACATAGCACTTTATGACTTTGCTGTCATCCTGGCAGGGGCCATGCTCATCTCTGCATGACTCTGATTTTAGTGTCTATGCTGCCAAAGTGTGCCAAGGGCCTCTTTGTCAGTTGAGAAGTAACAGCTGCTAACATGCCCAAGGAGCAAAGATGCACAGTATTCTACACAACCCAGGGAGAAGTAATGCTGTACTCTCTGCCCTCCATTCCTCTCTCTCCTTCCACTCGCCCTCAGGGAACATTAGGGCAACTCAATGTGCTGAAGAAACACTCTGGCTTTGCTTACTCATTCTGATGCTTGACTTTAAACATCCCCAAGCCCAGGGAGGGTTCCCTGAGCAACCAGGCCAAGATTCAGGTAATGGTTATCCACTCCACCAAACTCTGAATTCTTCCTCCATCATACTGTTACCACTGCACTCACGCAGTCATTTGCCTATTTATATGCTTAATACCTGTGTTGTTGGCAAAAATGCAGACCCCGAGAGAATGCTCTCTCGCTTGGCTTTTGCTGAATGACTATTTCCGGCGTAGCACCTGGGATGGAACAGCCCAGAGCAAACACGTGAAGATGAACAAGCCTAGAGTGTCCCCCAGGAGAGCCCCCAGAGGAGCAGGACTTACCGCACAGCTTGTTCTGGAACACTGATGTCAGCGACTCAATCTGGCTGAAGTTGGCCACCAGGAAGACGTGGTCCTCATGGGGCTCACTCCCAATGGCCTTCAGTGTGTTGAGGTCCACCTGGCCCACACCAATGGCAAAGATCAAGATGCCCGTGTCCCGTGCCTTGGCCGCCACTTCAGCCACCGAGTCCTGTGGTCTTCCATCTGTCACGATCATTATGACCCGGGGCACATTCTCCCGCAGGGGCCGGGCCCCCTCTGCCTCTGAGAAGGCAATATTCAGGGCATACTGGATGGCCAGCCCTGTCATGGTGCCCGTGGACAGATGCCTCATCCTCTTGACGGCTCGCTCGACCTCAGATTTCCTCTTGAAGGTCTTGAGGGAGAACTCGTTCTTGACCGTGCTGCCGTATTGGAGCAGGCCGACCCGCGTGACGTCAGGACCGATGTCCAAGAACTGCAAGATGTCCACAATGAATTCTTTGACCTTGGCATAATCGTGGGTGTTGACGCTGCGGGAGCTGTCAATGATGAAGACCAGGTCTGCTCGCTTGTTCCCACAGGAGCTCTCTGGGGAAAGAGGAGAGGTCCCACACATTACAAGAGATTTGGGACCCAGTGCAGGCTACCTGTTGTTGGAAGTCTGGGGTTGACAAACACCTTTCAAACCTCCAGTCCTCTTCCACAGTCATCCCTTCTCTGGAGAGTTATATGGGGATACATACACATGGCTATGGGCTACAAATGCATAGGATTTCTTTTTGCAAGATAAACAAAGCCATTAGTAAAGTTTTTAAGTGGAAATACACCCAGAGTCAAATTATTTTATTCTGTTATTTACTAGATGTCATATAAGCTTGGTAAAGAATATACCAGAAGCTTAAGACAGAGCTCATTGTCAAAAAGTTTACACAGAATTTCAATGGAACAAAATAAAAACAACCACTGGGGCCAGCATTGTGGGTAAAGCCTATGTTTGTGATGCTGCCAGCCCATACTGGAACACCAGTTTGAGTCCTGGCTTCTCAGCTTCCCATCTAGGTTCCTATAATGGCCTGGGAAAGTAGCAGAAAATGACTTATGTCCTTGGGCCCAGCTGCCCATCTGACAGACCTGAATGGGGTTCTGGGCTCCTGGATTAAATATGACCCAGTCCTAGTTCTTGTGGCCACTTGGAGAGTAAATCAGTGGATGGAAGATCTCTGGCTTTTCTCTCTTTCTCATTCTACTTCTCAAATACATAGATCATTTTATATTTAAAGAAAAAAACACTATGATACTGCTTGGTTCTGACATTAGACATTAAGAGAAAAAAGGACTGGTGTGCTGGGGTCAAGGACATGGACCATGAACTGCCCTGTGGCTGCAGTGTTTGGACTGGACATTAGGTACTCTTGGAGAGGGACCCATAAACAAAACCCCAGGATGACGGAATGTGTCAACGAACAGAACACATGACAAGACCCTGGAAAAGAAGAACCACACAGAGTTGCAAACAGGAATTTATTAGAGGGGTAACCTGAAGTCATTCACGCAAGACCTTTAAATTCAAATGGAGATGCCTGTCTAGAATGCCACCTACGACAAGGCACCTGAGCACCTCATCAGGAGACTTGCCTCTCCTATGAGGAGGTAGGGAAACAAATCAATTGAGTCCAGCAGGGGTTTGCAAGGTGGATGATCCACAATACTGCTGTATTTATCTGGCTGGGATGTAGACTGAGCTCTCAACCACAGAAGCAATAATAGCAATAGAGAAAAAGAGATACTGACCAAAACATGTTTCTACCAAGGACATGGCTAAATGGGAGAAAGACACATGGGAAGTCTCTCTCTTACCACCATGACTACAATGCTCTGAGTCAAACACCTAGCAAGAGGCTGTCAGAGTATTGGGGATGCAGGTGATGCCGAATGAGATGAGGGACTCCCTGCCCCAGTGGGTGAAAATTGAGCTCTCCTGCTGGGATTTCCAAGGTCCTGGGAACAAATGCCATTAGCCGGGTTGAGCTCCTCCACCTCCTTCTGCTACAACCCCCTTCCCGGACTGTGCAGCTAAATCAGGATTTGAAAGAGATTAGAAAAGGGATCCCAAATGCTTGCCCTAAATCCCAGCCACCACAGCTGCAAAAAAGGGAGAGAAAGCCAAAAATGAAACAGTGAGGCCAGTCATAAAGAAGAGAAGTGGAAAAGGCACATGAGGTCATCCTGTCCAGGCTAGCTGGCCAGGCTGGGACTTATCCCTGAGGGCCTGCACACGCGTGTGCGCACACACACACACCTCATCACAGAAGCCTTGCCGTTCTGACTGGAGGGCAAGAGGGTGTCCTGAACACCGGGAGTCCGGCAGGAACCTGTCCTTCCGCCACCACCACCATGTGCAACAGTGGGGGCTGAGCGAACTTCAGGATGAGCTTCTCAAAACCGAGGCCCTAGAAACCGCATTTGAAAAAGCAGTGACAGGACTGACATAAGAAATCTGACCTTAGTATTGGGATCAATAGAAAAAACTGACATCTATATTAGGTTTTGAAATCTCTTTCCCAGAGCACTTTTATTATAATGGTTTCATCTGCTTGCTTCTGCACAGATGAAATTTAAAGGCAACCAGAGTCTGAAAATCTTTCACCATTGGGGAAAAATATATTTAGAGATGAGACTATTTTTCATCCTCTTTGGGGTTGTGACCATTTAAGGAAATGATGTGGACCAAGAGCCAACATGCCTTATCTACCCTCACTCCAGCTCTCCTCTCACCCCTCCATGTTGCTGGCCCTCAGCTGGGCAGGAGCAAGGCTGCAGGCACTGCGGTGAGATTAGGGCTACACACAGACACCTACGCAACACGGGAGACGGAACTAAAATCCACTCAATCCCTGAACCCCAGAAACTAAGCCAACCCCGAGAGGCAACTGGAGGGTTGCATCTCAAATGTCCGTGGAAGTGTCCATAATCTAGCATATTGGACTGCCACAGTGCTTGACAGATTCAGTTACCTGGAAAGATATGGGCCAGACACTCCTGAGACCCAGGCTTGTCCCCACTGTAGGCACTGCAGCTGCCCTGCCCTTCTTGTCTGAACTTATTGGAAGGAGAATGTGGTGCGATGATCATTAACTGAAGGGGACAGAGCCCGAGTTTAGACCCTGCCATGGAGGAATCATTAAACTGGAGGCCCTTAGGAAACGAAGGAGATCCACAGCACACTGCCCCCACCCCAAGAATTCTATTCCTCAGAAGTTCTTTGGAAGCAGATGGCTCTCCTTGGATGGAGACCTCCATTTTGTGTCTTAGTTGTGGTGTCAACCATCCACAAAGCATCATAATCCATTGAAAGGGAAGCCTCAGCATTCCAGGCAGAATTGTATGTTAAAGTGGACTGGTTTCCATCAAAACACATAGGTTGCTTCCATAATGCCTGGAAGCTCACCAAAATACCAGAGAGGTCAAAATCTCGTTGGCAGTTCCAACTGAGTTGTGGTTCTGAGTTGAAATCAACAAGTCCTGACTTGAAATCAAACAAGCCCAAGTTTCTTCAAGATATTGTCTGGGGTCCCTGGAAGTTTCAGAGCCACAGTTCCACAGTTTACCCCTAGAAGGGCTTGTTCAGTGTTCTAAAGCTTAACATGCATCCCAGATCCCTGAAGGACTTACTAACAATTAGGATCAGTACGCCACACCTGCAGAGCTTCTGATCCAATAGGTCTGGAATGGTGCCTGGAAATCTGCATTTCTAACAAGTTCCCAGGTGACATCAGTTCTCTTGTCCAGAGGCCACACTCTGAGAGTGACAAGTCTGGGAGACAGAACTCTCTGGATCAAAGAAGTATGGAAAGTGTTGCCCCCATCACCTCATTGTGAATTCCCTAACTCTACGAAACTCAGGTCATTCCTCTTTGTAGCCACGAGGTTGGGACACAGCCCTCAGTCAACATCTGTGGAGTAAATGGAACTCTGGATGATTCCAAAGGCTTCTGGAGGAAGGGACCGAGTTAGTATTCAAGGAGATGATGACAACCAGGAAGTGAAGACGTTCCAAAGCAGGGGTGGATCCTGCTAGTAGTGTCATGGATTCTAGAACCCCAATCTTGGCCATTTTATGAGGGAGCATAAACACTCTGGATCATGAAATCACGATTTGATTAAAAAAAAATCCTCCCTCTAGAAGAGGCCAATTTGTCTAACTCACTCACTTCACAGAAGAGGAAAGTGAGGCTCAAAGAGGTGATTCAACTTCTACAAGGCTTCGGAGCTCCTAACAGGTGGATCTGGGGTTACACTGGTGCCTTCCCCACTATCCCAGGATTAGTGCCTTTCAGAAATTCTCACGTGAGCTGGAACTAGGAAACAAATTTTGCAAGTGCTTGGATGCACCTTGGCATCTGCTGCACAAAGCCATACAGGCTCTCCACATGGGGCCTGCTCAAAGAGTCCCAGAAACCAGAATCTCCCTGGTGTGTTTCTATTACAACTGACCATTAGTCTGCCTCCTTGGCCTGGGAGAAAACACACACACACACACACACACACACACACACACACACACACACACACTAATCTTCCCTTGTGTCTTTCATGACAGAACTTGTGGTAGCAGTTGGAAGAGAGTTTACAGGCTCAGAATAGAATGCCCTTCTTCTGGATTCCTTCAGCAGCACTTCCAATGCTGTCAGTCTAACTCCAAAGCCCATGCATGGCACCGAGCACATCTCTCACCTTGGCAGAGAAGGGCAGTCTGGTCCTGGAGGATTTTCAGCCATGATTCTACCCCTGCAGGGCAACAGTGAGCACATCCAGGTCTCCCGCCAGGGCTTCCACCTTTGTCACTGCAACTAAATTCCATCATGTCCTTGTAGTACCATTGCAGAGACCTAGTGTCAGTTGCTTAGGAGGGTTAGTGTATGTTTGGGGAAGCAGAGGATGTGAATTTCTACAACAAGGTCCAATGGTTCCATCTGTAGATTGAAAGGGCTCAGAAATCCCTAGGAACCAGTGATAGGGTGCTAAGATCTTAGGGCTAGTCTAGCCTCTGCCGCCGCCCTTGATCTTTCTGACCCAGTCTCTTCTTTTGTAAAAGGGGAGTAATGATATTTGTAGGACTGTCATGAGACTCAAAAAGTACATAACTTATACCTCATATTTGTTCAGTGCTCATTTTGAAAGTTTTGTATGTTGTCTTTTTAGGTGTCACATCTATCTTGGGGAAGTAGCTTAATTCCCTTTTTTCAGAGGAAAACAGTCAGTCTAGATGGATAGACAATTCACTGCAGGTCTCCTACCTAGCAAACAGAGATGCTTGGGTGTGAACCCATATTATCTGGTCTTGCTGCTGTTAAGTGTTAAGAGCCCACACTCAGGAGCTGGTGCCATGCAGTAGTAGGGTAAGCTTCCATCCGTGGTGTCAATATCCCATTTGGTACTGGTTCAAGTCCTGGCTGCTCTACTTCTGATCCGGCTCCCTGCTAATGAGCCTGGGAAAGCAGTGGAGAATGCCCTGAGTCCTTGGGTCCCTCTGCCCATGTAGGAGACCTAGAAAAAGCTCCAGACTTCTAGCTTTAGGCCAGCTCAGCTCTGGCCATTGCAGCCATTTGGGGGGTAAACCAATGGATGAAAGTTCTATCTCTCTTCTCTCTAAGTCTGCTTTCCAAGTAAAAATAATCTTTAAAAAATTAAAAAAGAGCCCACATTCAGCCAGCAAACTATACTCATCCTGGATGGGGAAGAATCTTACCCTTTGTCTTTTAGACCTGCCAGCCCCAGAATACCCAAGATATACCAGAATCAGAATGGCTCTCTTGGGTCAGTTCTTTCCTTGCCTGGAATCAGGACCTGATAGCCATGGTCCACACTGTCCTGCCAAATGTCAAGTGCTTCTTTCTAAATGTCTATTTGTAGCACTTTAAAAATAATAATCAAATGATGAAAACAGATGCTTGCCTCTCTAAGTAACAACAGCTCAGTAAATCAGGCTGTTCATCACTCATATTCTCACTCCCTTGACAAGTGCTTGTTGAGAGCTCAGTTGCAGTGGGATCCCTTGGGAAGGTAAAGGGCTGAACAGTGTGATGAACAAAGAGTGGCTGCTGCTGTTTGAGGGTTGTGGAGAAAACAGAGGATCACAGGTGGCACCATGGGCAAAAGCCCCGAGAACTGGAGAAGGTGCTCCACAAAGCTCCCCAGGCAGATGGGCTGTGTATGCCCTTGGCCAAGAGAACCATGAACAATGTAATGATAACAGAGAAAAACCGTAACGGTTTCTAGGCCAGTAGGGAGAACTAATCAGTTAGCAAGCTAGGGAATGGTTTCCAAGCAGCCTTCAAGGACTACTTGAAGGAAATCCTCATGAAATTTAACTGGAGATGATTGCCCTGGTTGTGCATTTCTGCTACAGCCATAGTTAACTGTACAAGCGGGGGTGCAGCAAAAGCAGGCCAAAGTTGGATTCAACCCAGGTCACCCTGGTGAGTCGGGAGCTGTGCAAAGGCAGTTGAGAGAATGGTTATCTAGTTTCGCATGGAAAGAAAGGGAGCAGGAGAGCATGAAGGGCAGTGAGGATAGGCAGGATCAACGGGCTGAAAGCCCAAAAGGGGTGACCGCACAGCTGTGGCTGGGATGGGGGTGACCGCACAGCTGTGGCTGGGATGGGAGAAGAGAGCTGGAGGATCCCTCCAAGGGCAGCAAGAGATAAGAGACATCAAAGGGCAAGATCACAAAATTAGCAATCTACATGAAGGGCAATGACAGCTCAGGGGCATTTTACTGATGTAAATCGAATGAGGTGGGCTTGTCAAGGAAACACAGAGGCATCCTGAGTGTGAAGACAATCCTGCCACACCCTGCCACACCCTGGGGCTGGTCACTATGATCCCCTGGTCACATGTCCCACAGATGCCCGCCAGGTACCCTCTCCGCTTGTGGCCCATCTCCAAGGAGTCTCCAGGCTGTGTCAAGCTCTGGGAGAATACAGGTGATTCAATGAGATGTCAGAGGTAATGTTGGTCATCTTGATGTTCTCCCCTGCTGCAACTTGATCTGTAATTCTCCTGTCTGAAGGGCACTTGATTAGGGCACCATGGAGCCTGGCCAGAGAATGGAAACCCCATAATCAATTCTTGCCTTTTCAGTTCCCTTATTACTCAGTCTCCAGCAGCTGCATTACCTCGCCCCAGACACTGTACAAAGCAGCAGATGAGCTATGGCTTTCTTTGAGTCCGTCCGGCTCGGTTCACATCTTCCAAAAGAACCACTGGGGACTATCCCGACAGCTTGATGGTATTTTATTAGGGAGACACCCTGAACTATTTACTAAGTCTAGGCTGGACTCATTAGAAAGCCAGGTTCCACTTGGTAACATTTTCCAAATATTCCTCCAAACGCTGAGGGCACATGTGCTTCTCTCTCCATTGTAATGAACAATGCGGGAGGAATAGTCAATGAACTGAGTAACAGGGTCAGGACCACAAAGGGTTTCTAAGGGCTAGAATGAGGAGTCAAAACCAATAGGATGGAATCTGGCTGGCATCAATGGTGAGTCCTGCATGTGGGGTTAGAGTAGCCAACCATACAAACCACAGGAATGGAGAAGTCTGAATGGACAGAGGTGACAAGATAAAATTAGGAATCAGACTGGCAAATCCATGCCTTGATTGCTGCCCACTCCCTATACCCCAGTGTCAGCTCCTATGACAGACACCCTAATTAATCTGTCCTTGGAATCAGCATGCAGCCCCAGGACTCCTACCAAAACAGCACCTGCAGCAGGCGTCACCACTGATGAACCCAAGCTATGAAAACACACCAGCTTGCCAACCAGAGTACAATTTCTAACCACTGTCAGTGAACTCCTCCCAACCCTGAGTCCCCAGTCATCACACCCAGAGCACCCCTGGCCTGGGAGCAACAGACTCTCCTGATAAAATGGACTTTGGTCTGAGTCACAACAGCTGGGTCTGGTGGCTGTCAGCTTCCAGGAGAACTCGGGCTCAGGAAGTTGCTTCGTCCAAACAACTTCTGCCAAACCTCCACCATCCCAAGGCCATGGATGTCCAGGAGAGAATGAACTCGTGAACACAGCCTCCTACACCACCCACTCACTTGCCGCTACTGTATACCCCAGCAGCGTCCAACTGCCCTAGAGGGATGCCTCAGCTGCCTTCCCAGCACAAGGCTCAGTGCTGTGGTATCCTATTTTGGAAACCCTTTCTTGATAGAAACACCTCCACTGACGTAGGGCCCTTTCTCAGAGTCTCCTGTACTCCCCAATTCCCTCTGTGCATGTCCCCTAGCAGCTCCTACAGGCAGCTTACCTGGCCACACATAGAATCTTCGATGGATTCCCAGTTACCAGCATAATGACAGGCACCCTGACGCCCTGTCTTGTTGCTGATTACCTTTGGTGTGCAACAGGTGGGTGTTGTAGACACACCTCTGTGACCATGAGTGAGTCAGGAAAATTGCTCAATGGGGTACCATGGGGACCCCATGGCAGGGGTCCATAGCAGATTAATGCCAGATCCTGGGCAGTACCATCCCAATGTGTTGTCAGATAACATAGTGACTGGTGACGGAGACTGATTCAGGAGATAGAGCTCAACCCAAATACACTCTTCTCCAAACACTTGTCCCTACATCAGCCTAGCCAAGGTACAGTGTACCCTGAGGGGCAGCGCTCCTGGGACCAGGGCTCAGCAAAGTTGCCCAAAAGTGCCTTTTTGTCCCCAGGTCTTGAGGATCAGAAGCACATCAATAACCTGAGGTGTTCCGATGCCACCCCACAAATATGTCCGGCATTTCCCAGCCCATAGGCTCCACCAAACCTTCATTCATTCCTCGGCCCTTGTTTCTTTGACACCTGGGTCAGGCTGGCACCTAGCAGGCAGTGAACTGAAGGCATCGAGACCAAAAGCATCCAAAGTTTGGTCCTGCCTCGATGCTAGCATTTAGAAGACACTATTCCAGGCCTTGTGGACTTACAGTCTATAGAGTTGTTGATGAAAAACAAGGATGACTGTAGAACAAGGCAAGGCTGGAGAAATGCTAATGAAGTAATCATCTGATACGTTTCACCTGGAAAGGTAGGTCACAAAGAACAGTGGTTGTAGAGGGTGCTTCAGCCAGAGGGGACCACGACACATGGCAAACACATGCTCGACCTCCTGCCCAACCTCAGAGGCTGGCAGTAACAACGCATGTGTAGACAGATCACTTCCCTGACACCCCCTGCTATGAATGTCAGCTTGGAGCAGAACAAAAGGTTGGGAAAAGGAAAGGTGGAGGTTAGCCAGGCTCCATGTTCTGCCAGAGCTACCCCAATCTGTTTCTCTCTGCTCTGTATGCTTTCAGTCACAGACCTCTTGGTCCAGTGAACTGCAGCAAAAACAGCTGCTTCCATTCAAGGCAAACTGCATGCTGGGCTGCTTTCAAGAATGCATGAAGCTGGATCTGAATGTCAGCCTTTATTCTGTTAACACCTTTAGGCAGAAGGTGACTTGCACCGACAGAAGCCGAAACTCCAGAACTGTTAGGTTTTCTGTGGCATGCTTGAATTCATGATTAGCAAGAAGGGCCTTGGAAGCCAAAAGAAAGATGAGCATGCTGGGGAGACACTGTTAATAAGGGAAATACGAGAAAAAAAAGCCTGGCAATTTCAGGAGGAGTTCGAGCGAGGATATTTGAAAGGCAAAGAGACAGAGAAAAAAAAACAACAAAAGCTTCCATCGACTGGTTTACTCTGTAAATGCTCACAAGAACCAGGGCTGGATCAGACCACAGCAAGGAGCCAGAAACACCAAGTACATTCTCACCCATCACCTGCTGCTTCCCAGGGTACACATCAGCAAGAAGCTGGGTCAGAAGCAGAGCACCTGGGACCTACCCAGGCATTCAGATACAGAATGGGAGGATCCCAGGTGGCAATGCACACCGCCATGCCGACTGCCTACCCCAGCATGAGCTGTTCTCATCGCTGGCTACATCTCTGAGTAGCAAGGAATCCCCATAAAAAGACAGAGGCAAGCATTGGGGGATGGAGGTTAGGGGGGGATCCAGAGTTGACACCAGCTCAAATTTCAGTTGTCCCTGCTGACTCTCATAAATTCTTTTGGGAACAAAGTCCTCTAAGGCCTTCGGGAGTGCACCCAAGAGCCAGCTAGATGGAAAAGAAAAAAAAAAATAGAAAGGAAAATTGCGCCCCATCACACCAGTCTCCTCTGGGAACTGTTATATGGGCTGAGAGAAAAAAAAGCATCATCTGAGGTTCAGCAACTGTGGTTTCCAGAAGCCTGGACAAGCAGCCAAAGAGAACACTGCCTTGGTTCAGCCCTGAAGAAAAGTTTCCAAGGAATTGCATTCCCTTGCTAGGTAAAGCAGTCTGCTCAATTCTCATTGAAAAATGCCCCCTGCATCCTCTCTTTGGGTGTGACGCACACATAGAACCTTCTCCTAACACAGAAAGGGAAACAAAAGGAAGACGTGGTAGGACTCGCCATTTCCAAATCTTTTTTTTTAAATAGTATGAGCAAAGTGGTTATATACAGAATAAATAGGGTATTTTCCCCCTTACCATTTTTATTTCTTTCAACCACATGGAGAAATGATATACTGAAAAGTGTGGTACATGCACATGCATACACACACACACACACACAAATGCTGAATACAAGCAGGTACAGAAAGCCTTGGAAAGCCATTAGGTGATTCCAGCTCTTGGTCAAGTAGGAAAAAACATAGGTAGCTTTCAAAAAAAAAAAAGAAAAATAATTGACATGTGACCTTAAGGAATTTTTCAACTTCTTAAAATGAGCAATTGCCTTGTCAGCTTGCTGAAGGGTACAGCAAGTGGAAACCAGAAGCAAAGAGCTGAGTGGAGATCTGTGACTGCCACGTAGGGTTGGGCTGTTGTGAAAGTTGGCAGCAGGAGGCAGAGGTGGAAGCGTCTCACTTCCCTGGACGCAGCCCCCCCAGAATCCTTTCCCTGGAATGAGGCCATGCAGCTGTGCCCAGGGCAGGAGGCTGGTAACAGGGCTGGCGCACACACTCCAAACTCTGGAACCAAGAGCGTGTGTCTTTGCAACATTTCTCCTATCATGCCAGTTTGCCAACATGGCAGACCCCTCTGCTTTGTGTCTTTATGTCAGGTGTTGGGAACACAGAATGAGATGCAATGTCAGCCAGGGACTGGCCTAGATGCACAAGACTCATCAAAAAGCAGGGGCAATAAGCCAGTTCCAGGATGGGAGGTGTAAAGGGTGGGGAGATACCTGAACAAGGTGACAAGTATTGTATGTCAGGCTAATATTAGGCTGCTGTTACAGAATGACCAGGAGTTAGCCAGGCTCCGAGCAAGTGGACATTTAGGGAAGGGACCGCATGCATAGAAGCCTAGGAGCCAGAACAGGGTAAAGGACACGCCCAGCCTAGTTGGAGTTGTGACATGGTTGCATATGCCTCCTGTGCAAGAAGTTGGGGCTTCATTAAACAGCCCATAGAGAACCACAGGAAGGCTTGAAATAACCCCATCATCCATGAGATGCATCCTAAAGCTCCTGACTTAGCTCAGATCACACTCTCTCTCCAGGCCTTCCACACATGTTTCCTTCCCATCCAAGTCCCCAGGGTGGTTGCAGGTATAAATCATTTCTTTCTATGCATCTATGAGAAGGCCCCTGAGCAAATTTAAAGGCACCCTTGAGCTTCACAAGTTGGTTTTATGCTCCTCTGTTACCAAATCCCAGAGTGAGTCTGCTTGTGTGACCTGTGGCTGGTGGCAGAGATAGTTTAGGTCAGCAACCGGACCCACTAAACTTTCCTCCACCTAGTTCACCCAAATCTCAAGTAATTGGCAAGGGAAGGTCAACTGGCATCCAGAATGACCACCTACTGCCTACCCCACTCCCCTCATTACTGTCACAACGGATCCTCCAACACCACACAAGCCAAAAAGACCCCCACAAAAATTGGCTCCCAATCTCATGCAGGACGTTAAACATCAGAGTCATAAACTAATGGAGTCAAGAGGGCGGAAGCAGGGGTTGGTGTTGTGGTACAGAATGTTAAGACTGCTGCCTGTGGTGCCTGTTGGGCTGGGCTAGACTGTAACCCTCACCATTGTCAGCTGGATTTGGGGGTGGGCTGGGCTGCACCACGCTACAACACCCACTGGCAACTGCCAAGGTGAGGGGTGGCATGCCATACTGGGCTGCAGCACCCAACCAGCACACATGAGAACCAAGGAGGGAGGGGGTAAAGCTGATAGAGGGAATGTAGAGGGCCCCCCTGCTGGAACACCACTCCCACTGGAGAGCATGAGCTGGGATGGGAGCAGACCAGATCAGGCAGGACTACAACACCTGTGGGCCTCATGTGAGCTGGATCAGGGACGAGTGCGGCTTGATTGATTGTTCCTCCTGTGCAAGCATAAATCAGAGTAGGTGAGCGTTGGTTTGCCGTAGCATCAGCTGGCAGCTGCCAGCAGTGGGGGATAATTCTGTCAAGTTAAACTGCAGAACCACCTGGAGAGTACATGATCTGGGAGTGGGAGTGGAACCAGTAGAGAAATAGTGGGCACCTCCCTCTAGCATTATCACTCCCACTAGAAAGCATGAAAACCAGGACTGGGGCAAACCTGGCTGGACAGAATGGCACCCACTAGCATAATGCATGGGCTAGATGTAGGCCTGGTTGGGTTGAACTAGGCTTCAAAGTCCATTGACATGTACGGGAGCTGAATGGGATGTGGACAGACTAGACAAGTCTATAGTACATATGGGCAAGCACAGGAACCAGGGCAGTGGGCAGGGGTTATTGTGGATCACTCCCACTAGGCTGCAGCTCCCACTGGTTTGTGTGAGAGCCAAGTGTGTGGTGGGCAGAATCAGGCTGGACTGCAACAACCATTGGTTCGTGTGGAAGACAGCGCTGGAAACAGAACTGACCCAGCAATTGCAAACACCAGCTGATTGGGGCGACGGACTGTGCTGGACCCTGTACTGGCAAGCACACACAAGAATCTGGTCTGGGATCACCTGAGATGAAGCTTCTTTGGGGATCTCCCCAATCAAACTGCCGGACTCAGAACCCCAACCATCAAGAGAAGTGCAGGTTCTAGGGTCTGACCGTGGAGTGCAAGTGTCAAAGTTGAGCCTCTTCAGAGGCTCAGACAGAGCAGTGGACAGCATACCCAGGTGCACATGGAGGATATGGCAGTCCATCAGAACCTACAGAGGACACTTGGCACCACAACAGAGGACAGAAGACAAAACAAATCAATCTACTGCCCCAGCCAAGTGTTGGCAAGGAAACTCTGGGCAAACGGAGACTCTAAGCTAGACTATATCAACCAGTGAATTCTGCAGTGATTTCATTGTGCTTGGAATGGCAAGATTGGCAGCAATTTAGAGCTGCTGAACAATCAAAACCACTTGAGTAGTGCCCTTGGACGTGCCCCACCATCGGGGAGCTGGGATGGATGGGAGCTGGGCGGGGCTTCTCCCTTTACCTCCCCCTTTACCTTAGATACAGCAAAAAAAAAAAAAAAATTGCAACAACGTGGAAACAATAGTCTTGCCCATTTTTCTGTAGCCCTTGACCCTTTGTGTTCTAATCAACTATGTAAAGATTGTCAAAATAAAGCAATTTCAGAAAAAAAAAAAAAAGACTGCTGCCTGCAATATGGATAGCCCATATGAGCATTGCTTGGTTGACTAGGTAATTTCTGATCAAGCTCCCTCCTAACATGCCTAGGAAAGCAGCAGCAGATATTCTTGGGTTCCTCAGACTCCTGTGGGAAACCCAGATGAAGCTCCTGGCTCCTGGCTTTGGTATGGCCCAGCCATGGCCACTGTGGTCATTTGGGGAATGAACTACCAGATCTCTCTCTCTCCCTCTCTCTCTCTCTCCCTCTCTCTCTCTCTCTCTCTGTTCCTCTCTATGTCTCTCTCTCTCTCTCTCTCTCACCTCACCCCTTTGCTTTCTCTATAACAGGCTCACCGAATACCCACTCAACCAATGGGACCACTGGTCTTGAATCTGTTTCTTCCATCTGCTTTCTTCATGGGCAGCCTGTGTTGGGTATTTCATTGTAGTAAGAAAAGGTAAGACAAGCACATTTCCCTGGCCCTCATGAAGCTGTGGTTCTGAATAAGAATGACAGGACTCCATTACACACTCTGTATACCCACAAAGGATGAAGTGAGGCAGACTCGGTCTCTACTGGCAGTCAGTGATGTGGCAAGAAAAAGACTTGAAGCAGACTTAGTGCTCTAGGATCCATTCGCCAGCATCACAGATGTCGACAATGGAGGCAGGAACACCCTCATTCTGAGGATGTATTTTGGTATGGTAGCCCCTGGGTTCCCACTACCCCAGTCCTTTCAATTATTATCTAATACGCTCCTAGCTCTCTGTATTAAACTCCCATATGCCTGAGATATCTAGAAAGCTTTGCTTCCTGCACCAACCCTGAGCAATCCCTCAAACCCTGCCTTTTTGATATCTTATCCACCCACTGTGAGCTCCTGCTGAGGACTCCAAATGCACTAAAATGCAAAAATCCAACTAGGCATGCTCAGTTCTCTCTGTAGAGCTCATTGCAAGTCCTAGTCCTCCCACACTCTCTGAAAGTAGGACCAACCCTTGTCCGCTCCCCCCAGCCTCTGCCTGCCCACCCCCACCCTTCTCTCTACCCCGATCCCCCAAGTACGTATTCTCTGATTCATTTGGAAGCATGTCCTCTCTCTCTGTTTTGACACAATGCTTCATTTCCTCCATTCTTACTTAGCTTGGCTTTGGTTTCAACTCCCTAAACACACAGGGACAGTATATTACACAAAAGGAAAACTATGGAACCAATCATTTATTTCCTCATCACTCACAGGGCTTGAGCGAGTGCTAGGTTCCAGCTGCTGCAGTTGACTCGACTAAGCCTGACGC